TGTGTGTGTGTGTGTATAGTGAACATAAAGAAAACGGCATACCTGGTAATACAGGCAGCTGACTATCACCAGTGGAACTGCACATCTTATAAGTTTTAACTGCAAAATGAGAGAAAGAGAACAGCTGTTGTGAAATGACAGAATATAATCATATCAGAGGCAAAGAAATTCAGAATCAGAGAGAGATATACCTAAAAATGAAGACAAGCACAGAATGAGATAACAGTGATAACAGACAGACAGAGCAGCATTGCTCCCAAGGATCATTCCTTATCTCATCCATGCTGTTGTCATGTTATGACCAAGCTGACACCTAGTGGCCTCAAAAGTAATCTCATCACCGGTCCAAAGTTAAGGCTGCAGATTCAAATCCAACAGGTCATTAGGCAGAATAATGAATGGTTCACTTGCTTTTCTCTCTCCACTTGCTGAAAAACATTTTTATGAGCCGTTTACCCAGTGCCAGTACTGTGGGTGAACTGTACACCTTTCCCATTTGTTGTTCACTTGTGTAGGACATAGTGTGATGCTAAGCATAGGCTGTGTATATATGCACTTTTGTATATAATAGGTTGAATATTGCTGGATACATGGTGAGGATGTAACAATACTTGTCATTTCCCAATATCCCAATAAAAAATGTCTTGATACCATCTGTGGCGGTATCAACCAGGATATTACATATAGTTATTTCACTAGTATAAATGCATTCAGGTTGCAGAATTTGAAACTGACATAATGGATTCTCCATCCTCGACTTTTACAGCTGCCATGTGGCATTTCAGTTTTTGTGTTTCAAGAAATGACACAGGTTGAAAAGAAACAAAACAATTTGCAAATACTGCTGGACGAAGGCAATACTAGCCCCTTTTAGAACTGACAAGTTTACATACAGTCGGTTAGTATTTGGTAGCACTGACTTTAAATTGTTTAACTTGGGTCAAATGTTTCCACAAACTTCTTACAATGAGTTGCTGGAATTTTATCCCATTCCTCCAGACAAAACTGGTGGAACTGAATCAGGTTTGTAGGCCTCCTTACTTGCTTTTTCAGTTTTTACCACAAATGTTCTACTGGTTTGAGGTCAGGGCTTTGTGGTGGCCACTCCAATACCTTGACTTTGTTGTCCTTAAGCCACTTTGCCACAACTTTGGAAGGCTGCTTGGGGTCATTGTCCATTTGGAAGACCCATCTGTGACCAAGCTTTAACTTCCTGGCTGATGTCTTGAGATGTTGCTTCAATATATCCACATACATGATGTCATCTATTTTGTGAAGTGCCCCAGTCTCTCCTGCAGCAAAGCACCCCCACAACATGATGCTGGCACCCTTGTGCTTCATGGTTGGGATGGTGTTCTTTGGTTTGCAAACCTTCCCCTTTTTCCTCTAGACATAACGTTGGTCATTATGGCCAAACAGTAAAATTTTTGTTTCATCAGACCAGAGGACATTTCTCCAAAAAGTCAGATCTTTGTCCTCGTGCAGCTGTAAACCGTGCTTTCAGAGGGTCCTTTGCTGTTGTTCTGGGATTGATTTGTACTGTTCAGACCAACGTACATTCATCTTTAGGAGACAGAACACGTCTTCTTCCTGAGCGGTATGATGGCTGTGTTGTCCCATGGTGTTTATCCTTGCGTAGTATTGTTTGTACAGCTGAACATGGTACCTTCAGGCTTTTGGAAATGGCTCCCAAGGATGAATCAGACTTTCTGAGGTCTTGGCTGACTTCTTTTGATTTTCCCATGATGTCAAACGAAGAGGTACTGAGTTTGAAGATAAGCCATAAAATACATCCACAGGTTCACCTTTTATTGACTCTGATGATATCAATTAGCCTATTAGAAGCTTCTAAAGCCATGACATCATTTTCTGGAGTTTCCCAAGCTGTTTATAGGCATAGTCAGCTGAATGTATGTAAACTTCTGACCAACTGGAATTGTGATATAGTGAATTATAAATGAAATAATCTATCTGTGAACAACTGTTTGAAAAATTACTTGTGTCATGCATAAAGTACACATCCTGACTGACTTGAAATGAGAGTTTGTTAACATGACATCTGTGGAGTGGTTAAAAAATATCTGTTTTAATGACTTCAACCTAAGTGTATATAAACTTCTGACTTCAACTGTACCTATTTACAAAATCATACCAAAACTGACCAACATTAACATTCATTTGGAGTTATGTTTATGGGTACCATTACCCAAGGCAATGAGCTGCATGTGCAATTGTTGCAAGCTTCTTACCAGAACTTTACTGTTGCACCTCAGAGTGGTGAGAATCAGAGTCCATATCTCAGTTCCACATACACCATATGCTGAAAATGCACACATATGGCCAGTCCATATATACTTCATCCTGGGTAGGGAGCAGGAGAGAGAGAGGCAATAAAAGTTAAGCATAGTAAATTCAAGCAAGACAACTAACTTGTCTTTAGTTTATGTGGTTATACTTAATGTAGTCTCTAAAACACAGCATTATTATCTACGATCTATTCAAATGTAAAGCATATGAATTACATTTCTAAATAAACAAGGAAGAGATTAAAAGGAGTAAACAAAGAGAAGGGAACAGCAGAAAGAAGACCACAAGAATGAAATGAGCTGGCAGGTACAGTGATGGAGCCAGAGGGAGAAGGCGTAAAGAAGTGCAGCCTCACAGAAATAAATCCCAATGCTTCTTTTAATGCAATGAGTTGTTTGACTGAAACAAATGGCTCTTTGCTCTTCATCAGCATTTTAGGGAAAGTGCTGAAATCAAATGTGTCTGTTGTGTCTCCTTTTCTGTGAATTCAATCACTACTTTAATTGCTGACCGTAACAAGGATGCATTGTTCGAACTGTGTCTGTCAAATGTACTGTATATTGCACCTTCCAAATCCTGCCCATCACATAAGACAGTTTACCACAAGAACACTACTGTATGTGCAACATTTAAAAGCACAGAGAAGCCAAGCCACTGGCTATAATATATCTTATTCAAATTAAGCTACTTATGTGAACCTTGGAAAACCTGCATCCCCATGTTGCTATGAATAAACCAGATACAAGAACATTGCCCTTTTCTGTTTGACTGAATAATTGCAGGCTTGCTTTAATACAGGGAAAAGAAGTGATGATTCCAACTGTAATCGCTGTGATTTTCTTGACACTCATCACAAAGAGCCTAAAGTTAAAGGTAATTATACTTTCACAATAATGAATCGTGGATGCCAAGAATGGCAGCCTGTGTTTGCAGCTTGAAATGCACTCAGCCCAGGAAATATACTGATGACGCTAGAATAATATTAGAAGAAAAACTACCACTTGACAGTGACAGATGAAAGTTGGAAGTTAGGTCTGAGAGGGTAGTTATAAATATGAAACTGGAAAAAGTGCATGCAACAGGGCATATTAGTCAAGTTGTGTGACAGCTAATACTACAATGTGCAAATGTAATACTCTGTACCACTCACTACAGCATGGTATACTTTTAAAGGAAACGCCAGTTGTGAACCAATTATTAGCAGTGTGTAGAGGGCAGTAAAATAATATATGCAAGTCAAAATGTAACAATGTTGGTTAAGAATATACATTATTTTATTTCTTTATCCTTTTTTGTTATCCTGTTTCATCTCTAAAAACCTCCTACCAGCCTCACTGATGGGAGAAATGTGCTTTGTTGCACCTGTAACCACACCCACAGTAATGTCACTGGGTTTTGGAGAACTTCACTACAAGGTGAGAAGTTAAACCACTAGATGTAAACAAAAACCCTTTCTGAGAAAGTTAAGGTACTCTTCAAACACAAAAATGTTAAAAAGCATTCACAGCAGAACTGAGCAACATAAAAAAAAAACTTTTAAAACACTTGAGAAAATGCTGAGAGATTTAGAAAATAAAATAACTTTGCGAAGGAAAATGCAAAAGACACGCACTGTACTGTACTCAGTCAAAAGTCAAGCAGGTGTTGCAGAGGTTGGAGTGAGTCAGTCAATACTGTTTGGTGGTCATACTTGTGGCATGACCAATAAGAGCTCATTTTTCAAGAGCCAGTCCATCACACAGCAGCAGTAGGAGCTGCCAGCTCAGAGAGCCAAATCAATCTGGAAATTAACAAGAAGTGGCCAGATATGAAAGACAGTCACAAGATAAATGTTTGTGTCCAGCCTAGTGCTGGTGTCTGGGCTCTTGCCCCACTGCCAAAGTCTGGCACCTGTAACTGGTGCTGTTCCACAGTGGAACCCTGCCAATGATGGCGAACCAGAGAAATAGGTCAGTGTGTGGTTGTGCCACCAGGACACCAAAGAGAGAAAAGAAACATAAAATAAGAGAAGCACATGAGAGGGAAGGCTAATGGTGTAACTGTGGAACAAAGAATTACACAAGATGAAATACTTCACAGTAAACTGACACTGCCATGCATTGTCTTTACTTTCTACTTCTGAATATAATTCAGTAAACATCAGTTTACAAATACTTCCTAAATCAGATGAAAAATAACTATAGGTCTGAAAAAAATCCAGAACAGCATATCCTGCTAGTTGATTCGGAAAATCTGCATAAAAATTGTGAAAATACATAAAAAATGTTTTTCCACTTCTACCACTACATTTTTTTCGACAGTACAAATGCTCAGCATGTCCCAGCAACATGCTTCTTACATCCTCAGAACACCAACATTCTCAGCTATCTCTTCATTTCAAGATTTGCTTTAGATTGAAACCTTCTGACTTCACCCACAGTGCCTGGCTGAGACATGTAGTGACTGTGCCAGAAAACAAACATAACAGCCTCATGCTCAATGGGTAACCACTTTGCTTTTGGTACTTTCAATTCCCACTGGCTTCACTATATTAGTATGCATGGGTCACCGTCTCCACAGAGGCACGCTCATTTTGTCAGACTTCCCAGCTTTGCATGGGATGTGATGTTGGCACATTTCAAGCCTCTTTTCACAAATGTGATCATAAAAGTGATTTAAGTACAGTATTATCTTCAACACCAAAAACATTTGTATTGTGAAGAATGAATAGAAATTTCATGAGAGCACTTGTCCTCATGCTAAACCTGTCCCACAAATAGTGATTATTTGATCATAATTAAGCAGCCATAACTACCCACAGCAGACCTGTGAAGCTTTGAATGTCTCCACATGCAGAAGCCGTGTGCATGGGGCTGCCTATTTCTATTTCCAAAGCAAAAAAAACACAAGCAAAAATGTAATAAACGGGGAACCTCCTATTATATATTTCCTAGTATAGGAGCCTACTGAAACGTGTCAAGCTGTGTAACACTCGTTACGGTTTCTGAGTTTGTTTCCGCTGCACTCCACCCACTTTGGAGGTGTGTTCTGGGAACTAAATATCAGCACCCCTTAGGTTGCAGTACTAAAATCAAGTTCCTGGAACATGAGAGGGGTGTGTGCACAGCTGATGCCTGTGATTGGTCCAATGTCAACATCCTCATACCTCAACTATTACATACCATGCTTGTAAGGCTCAAACACATACACTGGTTTACAAGTAAAACCAGAGCTTCAGTGAGTGGACCGTGAACAAAGAGGTGAAGACATTTCTGCAAGTCTCTATTCTGCTTGTTCAACAGCTTCATAAACTACTCATACAGTCTCCATTACTGGCTGATTGTTGCATGAGTGATCCTTCACATCTTCTGCTCTTCCTCCTCCTCTTCCTCTACTCAGCTCTGCGTGTGTGCGTGCGCACGCGAGAGAGTGAGAGAGAGAGAGAGAGAGAGAGGAGCGCAGCCCCTCCATCCTGTAAACAGTAACAATTACAGTAGGAAACCAATGAAGCAAAGTAGGATGGTCCGCGTCAACCCGTGAGGTTATGCAGGGTGATGGTTAAGGGACGGAGCGGGGTGTATTTCTCAAGAAGAGAAAAGCAACTTTATTTTACAGCAACCCCAGCAAACATTACCCAAGATGGTTTAACACTGACCAGATGCATTGGTTAGTTCTTATCCTGAAGGACTTTTGCTGCAATACAAGAACAGTGCTTTTCCTTTATTTGTTTAGTTATTTTACAAATCTTCTAAACATATCAGCAACTGGTGAGGATCCTGACTTTTTGTCTGGTAAGTCTGGTATTAGCATGATAACACTTGTCAAGCTACAGTATGTCAATATGATAAACATGGCGCCGCAGATGGCTGCCTCGATCATGGCATCCTCTCATGTGATTATTGTTTGTCCTCGTTTTCTTGTTCTTCTTCAACCCATCCCCAGAGAATTTTCATCATTCATTGTGGTCAGCATGCATATAAGACCGGAGGGCCACGCTAGCACACTACAGCACCTGGCTGAACATTTGACTAGTGTGGAACTGAAACATCCTGACTCACTACTAATCGTTCTAGGGAATTTTAACAGAGCAAATGTCGCCCACAAACTGTCCAAATACCAAATACAGACAGCACGTCAGTTGTCCCACCAGGGGCAAAACACATTGGACCACTGCACTGCATTACATCCTGCAACACCTCGACTCCCCAGGGACCTATGCACAGGCCCTCTTTGTAGACTTCAGCTCAGTGTTCAACACCATCATCCTGAACATCCTCTACTCCAAACTGACCCAGCTCACTGTGCCTGCCCCAACCTGTCAGTGGATTACTAGCTTTCTGACAGACAGGGAGCAGCAGGTGAGGCTGGGGAAAACCACATCCAGCACACAATCAGCACAGGCGCCCCCCAGGGATGTGTACCCTCCCCTCTGCTGTTTTCTCTCCATACCAATGACTGCACCTCAGAGGACCTCTCTGTTAAACTCCTGAAGTTCACAGATGACAAACAGTCATCTGGCTCATGTGAGACGTTGATGAGAGTACAGATCGGAGGATAAACAGCTGGACCTGTGGTGTGGTCACAACAACCTGGAGCTGCTCATGCTAAATATAGATAACAGTGAACTTCAGGAAGAGTATTTTATGTTTTGTTTTTTTATTTTTATAATGCACATTCCCTTTTCTTGTTTGCAAACTCTTGTTCTATTCTTGTTCTCTCAGTCTTATCTTGTTTAATCTTTGCCTTACAGAAGAACATTGTACATGCGTATTGAGAGCCACAGTACTGGAGTCAAATTCCTTGGGTTTTCAACACACCTGATATTTACAACCACTTTCACAAGATTTTCCTTTTATTCAGTGACCATGGTACTTGATATATGTATATATGGTAGAAGCTTTTAATAATCTTTTCATTGTTTGATAGTGTGCCCGTATCTGCTGTCAAAAGCCAAACTCCAGCATCACTAAATTGTCCCCCTTTGTTCTCACTTCATAAAAAAGAGCAAATTTTCTTTCAGACTTATCACACATTTCAAGGTATACTACATAATGCTTTGATAAACTTAAACAGAA